GTTGATTAATGATTGTGCATTGAGTCCCCTATACAGAATTTTATTGTTATTAACAACCATTTGATCAATAAATATGAGAGATGCCCTCTCAAAAAAAAAAACAAAAAAAATGAGGTATTTTTAATGAAAAAGAAAAGGACAGAAAAGGCTGGGCATACTAAAGAGCCATAAGAAGTGTGGGAAGCAGGTCTATGCATTGGGAAGGTCAAACTTCTGGAACATTTTCCCTTCTGTGTCACTGGCTTTGGTTTGAGTGAAAAGAGAAGGAATAGTTTTGGTGGTTTCTACATCCAAAACTGTTGATTATATTTAGAGTAGATTATTTTCTGCTTTATTTAATAAACAAAAGTTGTTCCTACTTCTACATGCATGTCTGTATTTCAGTGCCCTCATTTCATTCCAAGGGATCAAATTCCCTAGACACTGTCATATAGCAGTCAAGGAAAATGGGCCTTACAAAAACATTTTACTTTGGGATTATAAATATAATAGAAACATAGTTCAAGACTCACTGCGTTTCCACATAGGTGTGGTTGTAAGAACTTTATCCCACACACCCAGTAGGAGTGACAGCTGTAAGAAAGCCCTATCCCTGTCTCACACCAGGCCTTGTGCAGTGATCTGGCACCAAACCTTTATCTGTCATGTGATCGCAAGACCTAGATCTAACCAACAAAAACAACTTCTTTGATTACATGAAAATGTGGAACAATCTCAACAATTACAGAACTAAGAGAAAGCCCTGCTAGGAATGCACAGGCATCCTACTGTCATCAGTCACTAAGAAAATCTGAGAACTCATGTGTGTGAGGAATCAACACAGGAAACTCCATGCCAAATTCCTCAACCTGGTTACCTTTTTGAAAAATTCTTTCCCTTCACCGGTAGGAATAACAGAATGTGTAAAATTAAGCAGCTAAAAAACTAAATCATGCTCACTGTTGGTCAATAAAAACTAGAAAGGGCAAAAATGTGGGCAGATTTAAAGGAAAAACAGGATTTTATTGAATGGACATTTCATAATGTTTGTTAACTTCCAATTAAGGATAAGGGACCTGAGCCACCGTGTGGACCAAGTTAGTTGTCACTCAGGCACGTGACAAATTACTGTTAGCACATCTATCACTGAAACGACCTGGGCTCTAATTCTGGTCCTAACACTTAACTGCATGTGTCAGACTGAACAGGCTGCTCCTCCTCTCCCTCAGCTTTGCCTTCTCAAAATGAGGCTAATGCTTCCTAATTTTGATGGGAATTTTGTTGTTGTGTTTTTTAATGATTAGATATGAAATACTTAAAGTGCTACGCAAAAAAACAAAATCATGTTAAGGAAAGCACGGAGTAAAAAAGGCTTGCAGAAAATGACTATCAAAACTACAAAATTACACAGTAGGGATTCAATAAATGGAAACTATTCTATGTGATAATAAAACACAAAGATTAAATCCCTATCAAGGGTCTAGGTGATTATGTTAGAAATTTTATATTAAGTCCAAATCTGATTAATGGTAACTTAACAGTCATTTGTACTTTTCCTACTTGGAGTCAAAAAAGTCTAAAATCCTTACAGAATTAGTCTCTCCTGAGAGGACATTTAAATGGCATGATATATAAAAGAAGTGTCCTTCAAAACAAAGACCAGGGTATAATAGTCAATCACAACAGATGCTGAAGGCTATGCTTTTTCAGTAAGGCAACAAATTACAGTTCTTTAAGATATTACCTTTTAAACACTTCTCTATATTACCAATATATCTAAACCACTATTAGGCAATAGAATAACAAGATACATTGCTCAGTTTTACTACACCATGTTGGTTTTTTCTGAGAGAGGGATGAACATTAGGTACCAAAATCATGACTAGTAAGAACCATGGATAAAAGCAGCAGAAAGTGGCCAAAGCTGCTGTCCACTGCCTACCTGCAGTGCCCCAAATCTGTCATTACCTGAATCCCAACAGGGATATCTGACCTAGGAAAAGAGGTAGATTCCTCTGAGCAGGGCTGTTTCCCTACTCAAGCAGGAAAGCACAGAAAACACAGAGACTCTACAGCCACATTAAGGATGTGGCCCAGCCACCTTCTGGAAAGTGCATCTCAATGGCCTTGACTACCCAATCATTCTAAGACCTTCAGGACCCAGACCAGAAGAGTGATCATAATACTATGGGTTTCTATGATTACACCTGGATTTTTTTCTTTTAGTTGAAATAACGAGACTGTGTATGTCAAGGAAATCTTGTCCAGTATGTTTTCCTAGAGCATATAAATTATTAGGCCTTTGTTTTTATAACAAAATACCCTACTCTTTGTTAACGACATTTCTAACATCTATCTATTATTTAGACATATATGTCTAGCCAGATATATCCAACTTCTGTTCTCTCCTTAAAAAAAAAAGTCCTTAATATTTAGAATACCATCACATCACTGGAAATTACTTCAGGAACACTGTAAAGACTAATATAGTTTTCAATATCCTTAATAAAATACTACTTACCTAAAATTCGGCATAATCTTCCAGACAACATAAAATAAGGACTCTGGGCTAAATGCAGCCTGGCTACCTTGCCACAAAGCACAGAGCGTCTTTCTAAACTCTTCCACCAAAGACCTGGAAAAGAGGGAGGGACAATATCTTCAGTATTAGTGAGAGGCAACTATTTCAATGCATAATGTCCAATTGTCTACAATTCATAAAACATAACAAATGAAAACATGAAAAGGGTTTGGGCTCTTCTAAATGAAGTCTAACGGTTAAGTAAAAGCATCTCAAAAACCTGTATGAATAGCACTAATTCCTGACAAACTGGTTTTTTAACCATATGGTGAACTCTGAGTGTGCCAAAATACTGCCATACTTGTACAATACAGCAGTGAATAGATTACAAACTGAATTAAGAATGTACATCTTTTTAAAACTTAAAACAAGTAATAGGATCTCTATCCCCATCTCCGCACTCTCCTTCCTGCCCCTCCCTAGGAGCACTTACCGGACCTCAGTGTGTGACCATCTGCTCATCTCTGCCTCAGAGAGTACGTCTGGCCACAAAGCTTCAACACCCAATTCATTACCAGTGACTCCCTAATTCACACCTACAAGCCAGATTTTCTCATGACCACTTTTATTCAGGTTTCTCAGGCTTCCCACAGTAACTTTCTAGTGGATGTCCTCTTGTCACTTATAACTCAAAGTGCAGAAAACCTTCTCTCTGTACTCTCCCTACTGTTGTCCCCAGTATCTATTCTCCTCTTCTCTCGTACAAATAGAATTCCCAATTTTTGCTTGGCACACAAACTCCTGAAATACAAAACTGAGTGTGTCCAACTTCTTGAGAAATTTCCTTAAGAGAAAAGTATCCTTATTAACCCTTTCCTTCTTCCTTCCACCTGGAATGTGGACAAAATGAGTGGAACACCTGACCATCCTGGGCATGTGGGTGAGAGTCCCCCCTTCGGGCTGGGGGAACAGAAGGCTGGTAAGGAGCCTGATGACTGTGAAGCAGCCCAACATGGATAACCTCTAACTTTTATGTGAGAAAATAACCCATGGGTGTTTAAGTCACTATTAATTGTAGCTTTCTCTGCAAGTAGCTTAACTGACACATCTCAGCTTCAATGACTGTATCTGCTGTCAGCTACTACCATTCTCCTGGGCACCTGATCGAACTCAAGAGACTCTCAGTGCCTTGTTTCTCAACCCCTGCTATCCAGTAGGTCCCTGGGATACAATTCATTCTTTTAACTTCCTCGTACGTGGACCCTCTTCCTGTGGTTGACTTCCCCATCTTCAGAGTCTTGGTGAAAGTCAGAGCCCGCCTCCCACTATGGAAGCCGAAAGGCCAGAAACTTGCTTCCTCAGCTCCCCTCGCAGCCAGCACTCAGGTAAAGGGCCTGGGTTCTGCCTACTGGAGGCAGGAGTTAGTGATGCAAACAAGCTGGGCCAGTGCCCAGTCCCTTCTGGTGGCAACGAGCATCATCTGGAGTGCAGGGGCATCCAAGCCAGCAGTGTGGGCAACAGGAAGCTGGTGCCACACTGGGAAGCAGAAGCCGCCATGTCCTTATGGGGCAGTTCCATGCGGTGACTGCGACCGTGGTCCTGGGTGCCTGGACTCCAGCCCTGAGTGTCCACAGTCCCAGTGATGGTTAGCCCACCAACAGACCTTAAAGAAATTCTTTTTCTGCCTGACATGGCCAGAGGCAATTTCTGCCATTTGTAACTACACCCTAAATGACACTACTGCGTAAGTACTAGTAATTCTTCCCTTAACTTTTGTGCACATGTATTTTTTTCCTCTATTTCACTGCTATCCCATCCAACCCAATTACTATAAAGGGTGAAGTCCTCATGAATGCAGCCACTTTGGGGTCACCCTGTAGGCTGCTAACAAAGTAAACTCTTAAAACAGTACTTCTAGTGATGTCATTCCATCCCTGCTCCCAAGCCTGGTTTTAAAGTTCCCCCATATTTCACTCTACCCTTACATGACACATTCTGACATGTTTTATCCTATTCTCCCTCTGCCATTTAGGCAGAGCAGCGTCGGATCATAAGATGGCCCTTCCGGAACACCTGCGGATCGGGTGCGTGGGCGTAGGGATGGGAGGGCTGACATCACATTATAATATACACAGATTACAGATCATGACCCTATTTCAGTGATGTCAATAGATGAAAGATGTGCCCCCATATAATCATGATAATATGATAGGCCTTCTGAACCCCAAATAGAGCATGGCTGCATTAAATCTGAATATATAGTGGTTTTCAGTATCACTTACTAATTTTTTTCCTCTTCACATCAACTAAAAATTGACTGTATTGCCCTGTATTGAATTTGATGACTACGGATTAATTTTATTATCCAAGACGCGTTTAGCTAACACTCTAAGACAAATCAATCACAAAGACTAATGATATTTGTGCTGTTCTACACCTGGAACTGTGTATCTAGATGTCAATTTTAGAATGTTCAAATGCACAAAGACTCAATAATAGAGTGCTAAATTTATCCCACCCAAGCAGGTAAATAAAACTAGAAGAATTGCAGCAATTATTAAAATTACCAGCAAGATATATTTAAGAACAATTTTTAGGAGTTTTTTAAAACGTACGTACCTATAAAGTCACATAACGTAATATAAATCACCACCCACACTCATCCGCTCTGTAGCTCAGAGCCAGAAAGCGCTCACTCCCGCAACTTACACGCTGTTCTCCCCCTGGCTCCTGGTGTGGTATGTTCGCCTTCCAGCTGTTTTCCCGTTCCTTAATTCCACAGCGGGCAGTTCTTTGAAATAACAGCAAAACTGCTCAATGTTACTATTTTAAAAGGAAGGGAAGAAAATTGTTTTTTTAAAAAAAGGAAAGCATTTACTAGGATTATAAAGAAAGGTCTATGAAACCTACATGTGAATTTTTGAAAATGTCATCTTTCAATTTCTCATTCAAAGTGTACTTATGCAATTTCTTGAGTTCATTAAATTTCCTCATTTACTCTTAGAAAACAATATAAACAAATGCAAAAGATGACCAAACAGCTTAAACAAAAGCTCAAGAAATCCTCAATCCACCCCCAAAAAAACAGCTGTCACCATTCCTGCCTTTTCAGGGTGCTTATTCTCAGATATCCACTAATTTCCTCAAATAAAAACAAACCATGAAACCAGCTATGTTGTTCAGATACACCATACAGAGTAATAAGGACAATTCATTGTGGCTAGAATTTCTCACTGCAGCAGGACCAGATAAGCCGAGAGACAGTACCTTTAAGGACAGATCAGATGGCTTCTGCTCCTTATTAATAAGGTGGCCTTGAGATGATCATTTATTCTGGCCTTTGACACCTCACTAAAATCTAAAAGCACACAACTTTTCAAAATAATTTCTTCTATACTACTTAGTTCAGCCTCATTGGCTATTTTATTTTTACTGCTTATTTTATATTTTGAAGATCTTCTAAACATCTGATCTTACGAACATACTTAAGACTCAACTAATGACTGAGTTAAGGTCCCCTACAGCTCAGGGGTCTGCAAGCTATGACCCACAGACCAAATCTGGCCCCAGGCAAGTAAGCTTTTACATTTTTAATGTGAGTTCTATTTTTTAAAGAGTTGTTTAAAAGTGGAATACAGGTAGAAGGGAGGGGAAAGAGAAAATGTGGGACTGTAGGTGGCATGCAGAGACTGAAAGTTTACCATGTGGCCTTTCACTGTAAAAGGGGGCTGACCTCTGCCCTCGCCTATCAAGAGGCAGTAGGAAATAGTTAACTGCTGACAGTTAGTTACCACTAGGTTCTGTTCTAAGCATTTTACAGAAATTATATTATTTAATTTTCTCCACTGCCCTATGAGGTAGAACTATTATCCCTACTTTACTAATGCAGAATCTAAGGCACACAGAATTGAAGTAACTTGCCCGGAGCCTTATCACTAGTTAGTGACAGGCAGAATCTGAACCCAGAGCCTTTGCTCCTAATTATTCCACTAGAAACTAACCTCAGATACATAAGCTCTAACTGTAGCATTACCTGAGTGACTGAAGGATGGCATTCATGAAACAAGTGTTCCCCAAATTCCGGAGACCTGTGGCGCAAATGGCAGTGGTGCTTCCCTGTAAAATAGACAAGACCATCAGTACCACCATGAGAAGGCCAACAGTTTCAAACAGCAAAGCAAAGCAAAGGCCAATCGTTGAAACTCTAGTATCAACCTCATGGAAGCTTATGAAGCAATCCACATTAATAAGTACCATGGAGCACACAGTGCAAAACCCAGAAAGATCCTTAAAAGAATTAAAGGTTAAGACTTAATGCCTTATCTAAGATCCCATTAAAATTAACTACTATAAATTGAAAAAATATATACACCAAATATTTAACTCTAACGCATGCATAAATAATGAATACATGTTTTCCTAGCAATGGGATATCAATCTTAAAACTACTTAAACTTCCCTTAAATGCTAAAGCTTGGTTTTCCGATTAGCTCTACAAATACATCACACCTCTGAAAATTACACCAGGAAAGTGACTCTACCAGTCAATCCAGCCTAAAGCCTTTCTGCCCAGAATTCAGATGGCCAGGGACCACTTTAGCTCTTTCTCCCACAAAATCTTAACATTTTAAGTGCATGACTAAACACAAGCAGGACAGCAGAGAGGCAGATGCAGGGCAAAATTACTGGTGTATTTAAAAATATATAGTGATCTTTAAATTTTGTTAATCCATTTAATGACTGATACATCTGGTAGCATAGTTCCAGAAAGAGTAAATATTCTTTCATGGTGAACCTGTGTTAACAAAATCCTAAGAAATAAAACTTAACAAACCTTCAGGCTCAGAGCATTTGCACTAGGGACCTTTAACAGAAGGAAGAAAGCATCTCTGATAGAAGGCACTGACATACGGACTCACTGGGGTAGGTAGTTACATTAATCATTAGACAGTGGCAAGCATTTTGTAAAATATTCCAAATCTAAGGCATACATTTATAAAAGTTTATAAAGGGCAAAATTAATGTTAGAGTTGTAATAAAACAGTGATTAGATCTTAACAATTCCTCTATTTGAGTAAATTTTAATTACTTACATTTACTTTTAATATCTTGCTGTTTAATGAAGAGTTTTCCAAAAGTTTTCTTTTCCTATGCCTGTCAGCTGTGAAAGCTGAGCTATTAAAACACAAAAGTCAAGAAGACATTAACACATAAATACTGCATGGCAGGTTAAATAAACTTGGCTGTTCAAAATTCCTAGGGTAGGGAGCTCTGCCTGACTGCTTGGTAAGGCCAGGAGGTGACCTGTTAGGCCCGCTGCGGTCCACAAGTATTTGAAGTAACTAAGGAGTTCCACTTCCCTTGGAAACCCCCACTGCTCCTCCAGCAGGGTAGGAGACGAGAAGTAGCCACCACCAGGCACTTCCCAGAAGAGCTGGCCAGGTAGATGCAGTCTGTGAGACGATCCCTCTCCACTAAGTCTATCTGCATGATCAATTGTGAAACTTTTAAAAAAAGACCTATTCCTCTTAACAAAAAGAAAAACCCTGATCGGACATGATTATTCTGAGGTTTAACATTTAGCCTCAAATACTGTTACTTCTTTCTTAAATTTGATAAAGATAAGTTCTGCTTATTTGTCATTAAGAGATTATGATACAATCAGTTTGTGGAATGATAAATTACAGGCATACAGGCATATATAAATTCATTTGATTCAGCTATGCTGCAAACAATATTCTAAAACAAATTCAAATTGGTACAGAAATTCTGAATTAAAGTTACTCAAAAAATGTTCTGATGAAAGAGATATTTGCTTAAATTTTATCAGAAAGGAATTCCATCCTTGAAAGGTTCACTTTAATATTATTATGTATCAGGAAAACTAATCTAAAAGAAGTAAAAGTTACCGCTGACCAACACAGACTTTTAAGCCTGACAAATCATTCTCATCTTCTAAAATTACCAAGCTAATTCAAAATAAATATATAATTATTTAATTTCCACATGAACTATAGTAACTTTAGAGCATCAGATCTAGTGATGGTCAGCTGCTTCAAATCTAAAAATATTCTTAGGGAACATGTCTTCAGAACTGTACATATGTCCCTCTCAGAGTACTGGGGACTACAAAGTAAGAGACCAATTCCACATATTATGGTGTTAAGTTATTCCTTCACAGATTCTGTAAGATGAATCACAAAGTGCATACACACACACATATACTACTTAGTGACAATGCGTAATAATTAACTTTCAGTTTTACCCTATATATAGGTATACCTCATTTTGCTGTCCTTTACTAAATGTGTAAGATACTACGTTTTTTACAAATTGAGGATTTGTGGCAGCCCTGCATCAAGCAAGTTATATCGGAGCCATTTTTCCAAGCATTTGCTCATTTTGTGACTCTATGTCAAATTTTGGCAATTCTCACCATTCTTCAAACTTTTTCATTATCATATTTGTTATTACGATCTGTGATTAGTGATTACAACTCACCAAAAGCTCAGATGATCATTAGCATTTTTTAGCAATAGAGTATTTTTTAATTAAGGTTATGTACATTGTTTTTTAAGATGTAATGTTATTGCATACTTAATAGACTACAATAGTATAAATACAACCTTTACATACACTGGGAAACCAAAAACATTCATTTGACTCGCTTTAAGGCAATATTCACTTTATTGCAATGGTCTGGAACTGAACCTGCAATATCTTCGAGGGATGCTGGTAAATAAAGCATTTAGCTTTTTAAAATACAAGTTATTAAATTTTACCCTCAGTGATTCTCAAAATGGCAGAATCCTCTAGATCTACACTGTCTAACATGGCATCTACTCAATACATGTGACTACATAAATTTAAGTTAGTAAAACTTAAATAAAACTTAAAATTCAGCCTCTTGGTCATACTAGTACTTTTCAAGTGCTCCACAGCTGCATGTGACTGGTGGCTGCCATACTGGACAGTGCAGATTATAGAAGGTTTCCTTCTTCAGAAAGTTCTTTTGCATAATGATGGACGTAAGAATATGCAGATAGTCAAAGTTAAATAAAATGCAACTATAATCATAGTTTTTGAATTATAGTTTCCACTGGAAAAACAAAAAAATAAACTTAGGTACTGTTGGTCAACCTAGGAAAAGGACAGCAAGACAGATTTCTTGTTGAGGCCAAGCAGAAGTAGAAACGAGGCAGTCTGTGAAGCCTTGTCCCTAGGGAAGTGCTTAATGGAAAGAGAAGATTTTATAATTGCATAAATGCATGCAGGTTCTAGATTGCCCCTTTCTCCCTCTGACTCAGTGCTGATGAATTTGAGATTGAGATGATAGTCTTTTCTTAGAGAAAACTGCAAGTAGTGAAAAACATATTCTGGTATCTACCCCATTTTATAAAGAAGAACCGAGTTTGTAAGATCTTTACACTGACATCACCACATTGCATCAGTTACTCCAGGAATCTCCTACTTCCTGTTTAATTGTAACAATTCCAGGCAAAATTAAGTATTTTGGGTCTGTACATCTATGCCTGTGTCTCTAATCCTAGATAGGGCAACTGCTGCTTTGCTCAAATTAAAAGAAGGGAGGAAGCACTTTGGGGGAAAAAGGAGTCAAAAGATGACAAGCCAAAAAGTACTTAAACTCAAAGTGTTTAACTGGTTTAGATTTTAAGAAATCAATTCTTCCCTTATCAGCTTTATCATCTATTTAATCAATGATTTTATAATAAAAGACATACATAAAGACTTTGGTTAACCAAAGTAGTTTTATTCAAAGAATTTAGGTTATTTCCTCTCAATATACAATTTAAAGATATTCTATTGCCTTTACATTTGTTTGCTAAAGGATCCTATTTTTGGCGTGTTCTCACAGTAGCTTTTATACATCAACTGTCAAAATAAATTAGATGCCACCTGACAATTAGGGGTGCTTCACACAGATTTCACTAGGTCAGCAGTCACTCCAGGGCCATGCTTCTACCCACTGCAGCTTCTAAGGCTCTTTGGATTTCTATTTACTGTTTGAATTTCAGGTCCAGTGAGTTTTATCTGAATCATCTATTTGGTATAGCAAGAAAATTCTATTTACATAAATACTTTAATTTCTTTATTATGACATAGCATTTCACAGCATCTTGTAATTTCAAGTGATATATACTCGCCCCTAACAAAAAAGGAAAAGAATAAGGACCTTGTGCTATCATACAGATGTGAAGTGTAATAATACAATTAAACCTAACTTCCTTTAAAAATAATGCATATATTTGAGTGCTCCTAAGACCACCTCATAATACATTTGAAAAGGATTTTCTATCAGAAGTAACTCTGCAATGATTTTATGTCATTTTTGCCCTTTCCTTGTACCGTCAAAATTCCCCTTGCAAATAAATTGAGTAGCTTATAAACTGATGAATACTAACTAAAAAACAGGCCCTTGGCTATCACAATTTATGATAAATATTAAATGAAATAAACACTGACCTGCGACCATTAATTATGAACACAGTTTCAGATATCCAAACCCAAAGTTTATTTTATTAACGCTTCAATCACACTTAAAAACATGACGAAGTTATAGAACTCATAAAACAAAAATCCTACTCAAAAATTCTGGAAGGCCCCTCAATCCCATCCCATTCCTTTCTTTCCCAAGGCTTGTTACTTACTTTTCCAAGTTCTGTAAGTGTTCTCTGACTTTCTGTACCAGTCCCAGTTTGGTGTCATTAACCACAAAATCATCACAGCGGTAACTGCAAGGAAAATATTAATCAATGTGTGTAAAGGGCTTGAGGAAACCACAGTAATGAAATCACCAAAAGGCCTGGCGGCTGCC